TTTGATTCTGGTAGGCATAACGCAAAGTCTGCTGAGGAATGGAGCCTGGGTGAAGTCCAGTCCCTGCCACTGCAGTCAAGTCATACAATCGCTTTAACCCACTCATTATACTCCCCTCTAAAATCAGTTGGCTTATTTGCCCCACTATTTCTTATCAGCACTGAAGATTTTTATGGCTAGAAGAATCAAATATCTTGTTCTCATTTACAGCGTAAATTTATTCAGGACCTGTTTATATCCATTTGTTTCTGTGCTAGCATTGTCCTTCAGCTTAAATAGCTTCTTGCCTGTCTATCTGAGATATTTAACCACCAATGTATTTATAGACAGCCCTCCTGTACCCTTTCTCAGGCTTTGTTTCACCAAGGCAAACAAGCCAAGCTCCCATAAGATCACTGTCAGTCTTCTAATGGCTGTTTCAGTGTGATTTAATTTTTCTGGAACATGAGTGTCCCAGTCTGTGTGCTATACTCCAAATGAGGTTTTACTAATGACTCTGTAACACTCTGCCCAAAATTCTTCATCAGATACATCCTAGAATCCAATTTGCCCTTTTTATGGATGGTCATGTCGGTCCTCTGTAATCAGACCTCTTTCTTTGCAAAAGTTTTAGAGCTCGCTGTTAAAAAATGTCACAGATTCATCAACTTCAAGGGAGCTGTGATGGCTTCCACCAGCTGGGGTTCTGCATCTGATATTTCAGCTTGCAGGACACAGCTTTCTCTGCGGCTGGCCTGAAACGGTGGAGCTCGCTGCCAACTCCCCTCCCCCAAGACCTTCCCCAGGGCAACCACTGATTTGCTTCCGCCCGGCCTGCAATGTAAAAAAAAGCCCTTACTCCATCTCATGCTAACAAAATACGGTGCAAAATCTGGCAAATAGTGTTCACTTGGCATGCACGTGTTAAAAAAAAAACTGAAAATCTCAGCTCCTTTTTTTTTTTGTTTATATTCAAAACATTTTCAATCATTTTAGCCATTCTGATTTCTAGCCATTCAATTCTTGTCCTTCGTTTCTTTCTCAGACCTCATTAAGTGTGAATAAAACTTTCAGAATGGCAATTAAAATAGATTTCTTTCTGTGGAGAGAGCCTATGTGTGACTGCACTGCTGCCTATTGTCCTTCTTCATTGCTTCCTTTCTCGGGTCTATCCTTCGTCTTCTATCATCAGTGATTTAGACTAAGCCCTTCGTGGCAAGGACCTTCATTTTGTATTCGCCTCTGCCTAAAGCAGAGACACTTATTATTGGTTTTTGAAAGTATAAAGAATGTAGCGGATCAATGCCATTATCCTGAACTGCACTTAGAAGACAAAGGCAGCGTAGCTGTTGAATTGATGCTCTGGGGAGGACGGAAGCAGACCCACATTTTGGGCTATCGCAGACTTGCCAGAGGACTCTGCGGATATTTCCATCTAAAGATCATAGCCAGGGTAAAAGCTCCAAAAGCACCGATGACTGCCATAAAGCTTGTAACACAGAGAATTGTCTTACCTGCCCCATCAAATGAAGCAGACGTTAACAACAATTTTGACTACTAAGACAGCTAAGGCTCTGGCAGCAGCCTGGACCCTGAGCTCAATCAGAGCATGGTGTCAATAGCCTACACTGACTTAAAATAAAGACGTGGTTACAGTATTTCTGCTTTTGAATAGACCCTAAAGGTACTTGCCCAGGAAATAGCAGAGCAGGTGGGCTAGAGGCTTGAGAGATTTGAAATCCACATCCAGGGGAAACAAAGCAGGGAGCTGAGCTCTGGGACATCTCTCTCCCAGCTAAAAGCCCTAACCATGCTCAGCATCCCTCTTTTCCCTCAGACCGTGCGACAGGGGCCTGCAGCCCCCATGAAAGAAAGAGGTTTAGAAGCACCTTTTCCTTTGCTCTTTTTTTCTTTTTGGGAAAAGGTGCTTGGACATTTCTGCATCCAGCACACTGGGTACTGTGAAGCCTGTGTGAGAGGCCCAAGTCTGCCTGGCCGCCCCGGAGCTGAGCACTGCAGCGTGCAGCATCATGCTGCTGTCGCCCTGTGTCAGCCACCGGCTCGGAGGGTCCCAGAGTTGGGTTTCTGCATCAGCACTTTAGCTGCACGCTGTACGGTACTCGTTCATTTATGCTTCTTCACTTATGCCTGGCAGGCTTCTCAGGACCAGAAATTTTGCATCTGCCAATTAAAATACTTTGCAGCTTGGAAGATAATGAAATAATTGGTCCTCTGCTGGGTTTTTTTTCCATTGTCACCTGTGCGAGTACCACGCAGTTCACAGATCTGCCTTCCCGAGTTCACCAATGCTGTCTTTGGCATATCGATTTTAACTGACACCTTCAGCTGACAGGTAGTCATTCCACAGCAAAGAGAGATGGCGATGCTGAACTTGTGATACCTGGTTTCGGTAACTGCAAAAGACTCACTCCCCTACAAGCCTCGAGATACGTTTGAGAAGTAGGTTTAACTAGACATGGAAATATATCTCTGAGTTTAATACAGAAGTGTTGCTTTGTTGGGGTGAGGTTTTTACTCAGAGGGATGGAAACCTCCCTAGGCTAAAACGACAGAGAGGATTACGTATAGCACGGGAATCCCAGCACAGCGATTGATCCAGTATGACCTCTGTATAGCTAATTACAGACTGTCAAGGCAATTTCTGTTCAAGCCGGACTGATATTTAATTAGTCTCCTCCCCACTGCAATCCTGACCTTGGTTTGGCACGGGGAAAGCAGAGTCGTGTATCTGGCCAAAGCATCTCATTGCTGCTCTGGGGGCAGGCAGACGAGGTATTAACAGCTGGAAATGAAAAACAGCAAATGAGAGTCCACAACGAAGCAGCAGCTTTCTTTACCTGCTATTTCCTTCCTCTCCTGCTCTCCCTCCTCTAAAACCTGTTGCTCAGGCTAGACGACTAAATAAAACCCGCACAAGTACAGTTGCCATTTGGTGACTTCCAGTTAATTTGTAGCGCAGAACAGAGGCTGTGTCTCCGCTGGTAACTTTTTGGTGAAAGCGAAAACTGGCAATTTATTCCTGCTGCTTTGTCTTTCAACCAGTTGCTAATCCATGGCAGAAATCTACCTTCTGCCTTGCGCCTACCTGGTTTCCTTAGTAACTCCTTGTAAGAATATGACAAAAGCTTGGAAAAGGCCAAATAAATTGTCAACTGCTTAATCTTTATTTAGGGAAAATGATGTGCTGTTAAATCTACTAGATCTCTGCCAAAGCTGGCTGACGTATTTCATAGAGTAATTCTTTCTCTCTTGTTCAAAAAAGGGCCCAGATATTATTAAACCAAAAAAAATTGTCAAAATATAAAAATCTCTGCTTGCGTAACAAGATTTAAGACCTGGAAGTTACCTGAACCTACATACATGCTCTGTATCTATCCTTTATTTATGAGTGTCAGTACCAAGATGACTTTTTCAGCTTTGCATACATTTAAAATGTTTTGCAGAAAAAGGTGGTTAAAATCATGCCTCTTGATGCCTTCAGAAAGAGGTTAGATTGCCTAAACGTTATCGAAATGGGTGCTTAAATAAAGATATCATCACTTTATGATTTAGAAGCAAAAGTGGGACCAAAGTCAGGACAGAAGAGAATCAGAACAGCTTTAATTGTGAAGCAGAGGAGGAGTGCAGGTTGCCAGTAATTGTACGTTTCCTTGTTTGTGTCACTTCAAACCCCCCACCATGGCACGGGTTCCACTTGCCGGGTGGTGCAGATGCAAAATGTCTGTCCGTCCCACGCGCTTGTGGTACAGACGGACAGGACTGGGGGCACGCAGGAGGAAAGGGTCAAACAAGGGAGCAGTGCAGAGGGTTCAGGAGGTTTGCAGGGGAAAGCCTGACAAGGAAGGAAGCCAGGAAGGGATTGGCATGCTCCTAAATCTTTCGGGCACTTCCACTTTTTTCCTCTGAAGATTTGGAAATGGTTCCCCCGCCTGTGGCAAGCTTCTTTCAAAGGTCTCCAGGTAGGCCATCCACACGGCAAAATCCCGATGGCAAAAATCAGCCATGGTTGTCTTCTTCATAGCAAACCAGCTGTCGGGTGGGAAGCTGTTGCTCAAAACACACAGAAGTGGCGAAAGACAAAGTTCCAAATGGTTGATGCTAACAAATTTTGGAAGAGGCGTCACACCTCAGCTGTTGGAGTTTAAGAAAACCTGTTTCTATTACAGATCAGGAGATTGAACGTTGGAGTTGGACGCTCTCGTCTCGAACCCAAAGGTGTTTCCGAGGAAAGCCTGGGCTGGCCTGCGGTCCGGCGGGAGGGAACTCAGGACCAGGAGAAGAACCCACCAGAGCTGCTGCTTGGGCTGCGGATGCGGTGAGCCGGGCTGGGAGCAGAACCACGGAGATGATGAGTTCAGGGCTTGACAATGTCCCCTCAGACACCGCCTTGGCGGCAGAGGGGCCCTGCCGGGTCTGAAGGAAATACGGTGATGGCGGTAGGGTCCTGGCCGAGCACGGCTGTGAGGAATGGGCCCGGCCCTGAGGGAACGGGACCGGCTGTGAGGAATGGGCCCGGCCGTGAGCGTCGGGCCCGGCCGTGAGGAATGGGACCGGCGTGAGGGAACGGGACCCGCTGTGAGGAACGGGACCGGCCGTGAGGAACCGGCCTTGCCAGAGAGAAGCAGAGGGACGCGTCCGCCGCCCTGCTCCTCCGGAGTCATCCCTCTCAGCCCTCCGAGGCACCGGCATCGCCTTCCCCCCTCCCAGCCGCGGCCCGTCGGGGCGGCAGCCGACGACGGGAGGGAGCCGCGCCGGGGATGGCCGGCGGCGAGCCGCGGGCGCGGTGGCGAGAAAGGAGCGGGCCGGGGCTCCCGAGCGGGGCTTCCTCGCCCACGGGAAGGCAAAAAAACCGCGCTGGGGGGGCGGGAATCAGTCGGGCCGGTGCTGCCGGAGGTGAAACGGAATGAAA